AAAAAACAACTAAATGCATTTCTAATTACTATTATCAAATATTTATAGTATAGTACATCTCAACTAGGTTGACATCTACTTTTAATATAATTTATAGTTTAAGTACATCCCAATTAGGTTGGCACCTACTTAAGTCTTAACTGTAATTTTTTTTTTTATTTTTTTTTCATGGGTCGCGGGTTAACCGCGGTCCGTGAAGGTGCAACCTACGAAACCTGCGGGTCACACCTCATTGACCAGTGAACCGCCCGCTCGGGTCATGGGTCGGCCCGTGGTCCCGGGTCGATCCGGGCCAGTTTTCACGAGGTCTGACCGGCCCGTCCGTCTTGACACCTCTACCCAACCCTTTCTAAACGCCCCAATATCCACCTAAACTCCCATTTTTGCGAAGCCAGAGGGTCTAGGTAGGGGATTCAGGTATTAGGTGGGGTGGTGACTTTGTGGGTTTGGTGGTGGTGGTTGCTGTAGGAGTTGGATGTTGGGGGTGGATGGTGAGCTTGGTTGGGTTTGATGAAATGTTTAATTTTTCTAAAATTTTTATGTGTTAATATGTATTTTGTTTGTATTTTTCTAAAAGTTATGGACACGATTTGTAATTTTTCTTATTTTTTATTGTTTTACTGCTTTCTTTTATTTTTGTTTATTTTAAGAGAAAGGTAAATCATCATTTAATGGTCAAAATGGAGGAAGGACCATTTTTGCTATGTATTTAAAGGTTGGCGGTGGATTATGCTAAAAATAGATTTGTTAAATTTCGCAAAAGTTTGAGACAGAAACTGTAAATTTCCAATAAAAAATAAGGTTATCACACCTAACCATAGTTGCTAGTGTGAAATAAGTACAATTTTATTGAAATAAATACCGGCATCATTCATGTACTATTATATCAACAATTTCTATCAAGTAATGAAATTAAATTTAGTTACCCGATTGAAAATAAATTACAATATACTTACTCGATCGAATAAAATTTATGTACATTTACCTTATGAACTATAATTTTTAGTTATTGAGAATACAATTTATCCATTTAATAATTATCACTACGAGTGATTTTTAAGATGGATTCTTTGGATTAGTCCTACAAATTATGGATAAATACTTACAATTGACCAAAANTGTCTCCCTTTGTATGTATGAAGTTATGTGAAATCTGTACAAAATATTAATCCATGTACTTGTATGTTTACTGAGATTTTATCTCACACCCTCCTTTATCCCCTTTCAGAAAATTAAAGGTTCATGGCAATCAAGCCATGAGGTGGCTAGTGAAGTGGCAAGTAAAAGAAGACTCACTAAGCCTATTTTTATTCATTAAGTATTGATTTATAGAAATTCTAGTATTTTTTTATTCATTCGATGAAAGTTTTTTTTAAAGTTATGACTTCACTTTATTTTATAATATTATTTAATAAAATTTCAAGTTTTAGAAAGCGCATTTTGGCGTTCAAGATACAAAGTTAGTGACACTCGGATTTTAAGACTTGGGTCATCACAGCAACCACCACCTCCGAACCCACACCATTACTGTCCCAACCCTTTCTAAACGCCCCAATATCCACTTAAACTCCCATTTTTGCGAAGCCAAAAGGTCTAGGTAGGGGATTCAGGTATTAGGTGGGGTGGTGACTTTGTGGGTTTGGTGGTGGTGGTTGCTGTAGGAGTTGGATGTTGGGGGTGGATGGTGAGCTTGGTTGGGTTTGATGAAATGTTTAATCTTTCTAAAATTTTTATGTGTTAATATGTATTTTGTTTGTATTTTTCTAAAAGTTATGGACACCATTTGTAATTTTTCTTTATTTTTTATTGTTTTACCGCTTCCTTTTATTTTTGTTTATTTTAAGAGAAAGGTAAATCATCATTTAATGGTCAAAATAGAGGAAGGACCATTTTTGCTACATATTTAAAGGTTGGCGGTGGATTGTGCTAAAAATAGATTTGTTAAATTTCGCAAAAGTTTGAGACAGAAACTGTAAATTTCCCATAAAAAATAAGGTTGTCACACCTAACCATAGTTGCTAGTGTGAAATAAGTATAATTTTATTGAAATAAATACCAGCATCATTTATTTACTATTATATCAACAATTTCTATCAAGTAATGAAATTAAATTTAGTTACCCGATTGAAAATAAATTACAATATACTTACTCGATCGAATAAAATTTATGTACATTTACCTTATTGAACTATAATTTTTAGTTATTGAGAATACAATTTATCCATTTAATAATTATCACTACGAGTGATTTTTAAGATGGATTCTTTGGATTAGTCCTACAAATTATAGATAAATACTTACAATTGACCAAAA